TGTTTTGCTCAATTATTTTTTTGTCAGATTCATTAGTGGGAATCTTGAAGGGTGAAGCATTTACTTCGAGTTCTTATAACTGATTATTATGGTTTCTGCTGGCGGATGACTTGAAGATACTGTGGAGGCATCTGAAATATTCCACTTATGTTTGGTTATTACATTAACTTCTTTGTAATGGTTTTCTAAGTAATCAAAGAAATAGATTTCACATCTTATTTCCAACATAAACTTAGTTCATTTTTCAATTATTTGATCTCGTTTACTATTACTGTATTTTTTATTAAATTCTTGCCTTTTGGATTTATTTTCTTTAGACATGAATTCTTCATGTAATTCCTTAAAATTAATTAAAAATACTTCATCTGTTATTTTATTAATTGTAAGTAATTGATTATTTAGTGGGTGGTTACTTTCTAGGTCTGAAGTAGAGGGAGATGGCATGAAGTCATCTTCTTCTTTTTCCTGTATTCTTGATTTTGGAGTACTTGCATGTGGTGTGTAATATGGTTTACTAATTTGTGATGAGGAGTTATCAATTTCTTTTAACTTAAATCTTCTTTTTAACTCATTTGCTAAATCTTTATCTGTTTTAGATATACTAGAGTGTGACTCGGATTTTCTTCCTTCATTTATTTGAAGTGGTTTGTTAAATGATCTACTAGATCGGTGAGATCTTGCAAAATCAAAGGAGATTCTTACTAATCCATCAGATAATTGTTGGATGTTTTCTAAGATTGCTATGGTGTTCTCCCTATCTTTATTATAGCTTTCATTTTCAACAGTCCAGGATTCTGGAAGTTGAACATCTTTCCATAAAAGTCTTTTAGGGACTTGGATATTTGACTCACTAGTACTACCTTGGATTAATAAGGTGCTATCTTTAGGATTTTTCTTTAATGCATGCACATTCAAATTTGTGGTAATGCATTTATAGTAAATCCTATAGATGAGTACTAGACATCTGGTTTCTTTTACTAATTTAGTTATTTCTCCTTTGAGTTTTATTCCTAAGGTTAAAGCCCTTAAGGTGTTAGGGCATTCAAGACTTAGGGTAAAGTCTGAAAAACAATTAAAATATACTGGTTTGTTATGGAGACCAACTTCCATTATTCATAAAACACTGGGTTCATAATTTATGAATCTAGTGCCTCTTAGAGATAATAGAACTGTAGCATTTTTACCAGTTTGGACTAATGGTTTAATTGCTACTTGGACTAGACCAAGATGGATAAAATTATATCTTTTTGACTTATGTCTTTTAATTACTTCTTTACTAAATAGCTGACAAGATTCTTCCTCTTTTGTAAGAGTATAAACTTGTTCAATTAGTTTTACTTGTAATTCTAACTTAAATGTTGTTGGGATCCAACTTGTTTTATAGATTTCATTGTGGGGAATTTTAGGGATATTCCATCCACTCTAATCTACTTGTGACTCGTGATATTCATTCACTATATTTGGTATAGTGTTTAATGAAGATCTAGATGAGTTAGTCATAGAATTAGATATGAATAATCTACTCATTTTCAAATCTAAGTATTTAAATTTTGTAAATTACTATTAAGTTTTATTCCATTGTACATATCCCTCTTATGTTGTCCGCTAGATTTGTTGTCTTCTTCCCCTATTTTGCCTCTCACTAGGACTTACATTGGGATCTAGACTCTCTACATGGTAGTAAAGCTTGGGTGACAAAAGTGGATAAGACTTAAAAGTGATTTACTAATTGAAGCATTAAAGATTCAACAAGAAGTAAGATAACTCAAATATAACTCAATGGTTAACTATCCTGGCCGTCAAATGGCTTATATATATATATATATATATATATATATATATATATATATATAATAAGATAACTCACAAGTTGAATTTTGTCCCTTACACATTTTTTCCTCCCAAAAAATCACATCACCAATTTCTATTACATGCCCAATTATTTCAATATTTAATTAATTTATAGTTTAATATAATTTTTATTTCACACATGCATATGTTGAGAAATTTTGTTAGATTATTTATTTTGAAAAAATTTGTCGATATTTTTTACAAAATAATGGATAAACAAAAAAAAATTATTATTTAATATAATCGAATAGATTTTTTTGAGCGCTCATATTTTATGTTTCATCATGCATTCAGACATAAGTTATGACTAGTATATATATAAAGTAACATTCAAACACAAAAAAAAAAATGTAACATTGAATATTAATATTTCAGAAAAATAGTAACATTCAATAATAATAGTAACATACTCATAAAAAAAATAGTAAAATGCATAACAAAAAAATAGTAATATGAAAAAAAGTGGTAACATGCATATTAACATTCAATATTATATTAAGCATAGTCTTCTCAACCAAAAAAAATTTTTTTTTTGAGAGGCAAAGAGAGAGAAATTGTAGTGATGTCAAATTTAAATTTGAATATCATATTTTATGGAAAAAAAATCTTTTATTATGTGTGAATCAATGATAACTACTTAGGAAACTGATTTAATATTGAAGATTATTTTTTAAGTCATTAGAATGACATTTTAAAGTTTTGAAAAAATAGTGAATTTAACTACTTATTAATAAAATTAAAAACAAACTTATCCCAAATAAATTTTCTTAACGGACTAAACTCATTATAAATTTTTTAAAATGACTTAACCCCAATTTTCACTTGAGCATAAAACAAAACCGGGAATCATACAATTAAAATTTAGTAAACAGCCTTATCTTCTTTCCCCTTTTCTTCTCCTTTATGCAATCTAGTTATATGCCACATGTCCTTCCATCTCCTATTCCTTCTACACTGTTCCATTGGATGCCCAATCAATGCTGGAGGTGGATCAAACTTTAGAGGAACACGTTCGTCTAACAGAGGGAACCGTGCATATTCGACCATCGTCCCTTGCTCAAACCCTATATAGAAGATAAAGGTTGTGTTACCTAGAAGAAATTGGAGCTATACTGAACTTAATTCATAATAATATATTTTAGTTTAATTGATTTGTAGTCGACAATTATAAAAATAATAAAATAAAATAAAATAAATAGTTAATTGTACTGAAGATCCCCAAAATATGAAGTTTGTTTTATTTTGATTCCAAATATTTTAATTGTATCATTTTGATACCTGAAGTATTGAATATGTTTTTTTATAATCCCTCATACAGATGTCGTTCAGATTGCTAAAAATATTTTATCATAAATTTGTCACGTGGTACTTGAATATGGACAAAAAAATAATTTGAATAACTCTTAACAAAATTTTTACTCAAATTTTGGTTAAATAACTACTTAAATTATGCAATTTTGATCATGAAATATCCAAATTTTGGTCAAAATTTATTCATATTACACATTTGTTTTTGTCAAGAGCCACCCAAATTTTGTTTAAGAGCTATCAAAATTATTTTTTATCCATATTTAGGTATTATGTGACAAATTTATGATAAAAAATTGTTAACAATTTGAATGTTATCTGCTTGAAAGATTATATAGAAATATATTCAATATTTCAGTGACCAAAATAATGAAATTGAAGCATTGGAGATCAAAATGATACAAATCTCATACTTTAAAGACCTCGAGTGCAATTAACGCTAAAATAAAAAATGACATATGTCATGTTTTTATTGGCCAAAAAATAAAAGGACAGTCTTAAAGCTAATTTTCCAATATTATAATTAAATCCCTATGTAAAATCATGCAGCCAGAATTTGATAACATTACTTGCACAAACTCAAAGATAACATTTTCTGTCGACCCCAAAATAGATTATATGATCAAAGTTTGATCAAACAATGCTCATTGTTTGTCGATGTTGGCTCAAATTCCACCCTTCAAAAGTTAACCAAACTTAAAAAGTGATCAAAACACCCAACAATACATTCTTTTAATAATTTGCATGCTTGTCACTTTGTGTTTGCAAACAATTTGTATGCGTCTTAAGTGTCTTCATATAGTCCTATAACCAAAACGCTAAAGTGAGCAAAAGTTGGAACTAAATAAGGAGCTCCAATGATGGGACAATCCAACAAATCAATGAAATATTTTTAGACCTCTTTATTTATTAGGTGTCAAGGCGCCACATCATTTGAACTGCCTTATTTGATCCATAAGTTTAATCAACCTAGCATTGCTTATCATACAAAGCAATACCATCTTATGAGGCAAACCCAAAGTTACAAATCTGTCGCTATAAATTATTTATTTGAATCATTTTACACCTCCAAAGTCCATATACAGGTCCCCTAACTCTTGCCTTTGATTTTGCAACTTGCACATTCACTTACACTATAACGCATGGCAAGTTTGTAAAATCTAAATATGCAAATTTTTATTCAAATTCACGAAACCCAGAGAAAAAAAAATACCTTTATGTGCGTTATCCCATGGAAAGACAATCAATACACAAAACCCCTATCACTCATGAAACCATTGAGAGATGCTAACCAGCAAATGCAATTAAATGTAATTGTTTACATACACGTTGCAAACCACTTGCCTCATCTTTAATCTCATTTTTAATTTTCTGTAGTTGGATAAGTCTCTTTGGAGTTTTTAGGAATTTGGATTACTATAATTTTCATAATTGTTTGGAGATTTTCTTGGCCATTAGTTGCTGGCTTTTAGGGATAGTTGTTTATTTCTATTGGAATTGTTCTATTTATTGTAACCACTTGAGGATGAAGTTTTGTGCAAAAACTAATTTCTTTGCACTATTGTTGATAGGAGGTTTAAAGTTCCTCTTGAAGCAAACCTGTTACAATTCATATTCTTATTCTCTGTTTTCCTGTGTCTCTTACTCCTCTCCGTCTCTGTTTTTTCACTCCTCCCCAGCAAAATAGGGAAGCAAAGGAGTAAAACCACTCAGCAGGGCACTCCAACATCAGCTCTTAAGCCTATCACACGATAAGTGACCACTCAACCTAACAGTAAGTTTCACGAAAGTAAAGTACCAAGAAGATATATGAGAAACAAACAAAACAAAAAGAAAGCTTTAAAGAGAGAAAAACTTTATTAAGCAACGCAATGACAAAGGTTCCATGCCTTTGACCACCAGCAACAGAACTTCAAGGCCAAAGAACATTTCAACATATACCAAAACTAGCTCCAAGTAAACAGTTAATTCCCCCCCACCCCCTAAAGTAGTCTTCATAATAAAAGAACAGAGTAACCAATGAATGGTACAAAAACAGGGGCGGCAACGATCATCTCCTTCCCAATCTAACAGCGAAAAGAGGTAGCAGTGGCATTAGCATTGCGTTTTGGTGCCATATTGGGGGCGGCGTGCCGTGCCCTCTTTTTGGCCGTTGGATCACTTTCCTCCGTCATCTTCGCCAAATCTCCACCGAACATCTCCAAGAAAGTCATCTGGAGGTCCTCCAAACTCTCCTCCTGCAACAGTGAAAAAGAATGCATAAAGATAGATCTTAGCTGTCTTGACCAATTTTACCATTGTATCCTCCAAATTGTGGCAAATGTGTACCTTGCCTCCAACGTTCTGGTTCTGGGTCTGATCCATCATATTCAGCAAATCATGCAAGAAATCACTCATTCCCTGTACGGAAATTTCCCAACATTCGGGCAAATTAATGATTTCCCTTCCAACAACAAATGCCCAGATATATTCAGAATTACATTATGAACCATAAAAATCTGGACCTTGCCAAGGTTAAGGGTGGGACACACAAATACAATAGGATGTCAAACGACAGCGTCTCGATTCTACACTGTCTTGTGCAAAGTATAATTTGCCTTGGAAGTATAAAATAATAAAATATCATGGGAAAAAAAAATCTGATATATTTATGCGCACTTCGTCTTCTTCCAACAGATCGAGAAATCCGGCGTCGTACATTGATCTCTTCCCCTGATCAGACAGCACTGCAAACACCAAACGAGCAATTAACGGACGTTAATTCCCTATTACCAAGCAAGTAAAGAAAATTAACGCCGTCATAATTCCGTCATATTTTATCAACCTGAGTAAGCTTCCTGGGCCATTTGAAATCGCCGTTTGGCTTCTCCGGCCGCCGATGGGTTCTTTGCCCACCTGTCCGGGTGCCATCTCTTCACGCAGCACCACCAATACAAAAAATTAGACTTTTTTTTTTCAATAAAAAATCAACAGAAATAATTTTTTTAGTTCGAAATTGACGAATTCGGAAGAACAGAGAAGATAAGAGGGAGGCGTCGTGTTAAAAATTGAGTACCAGAGCAAGCTTGCGATAAGCGGTTCGAATGTCAGAGAAGGAGGCGTCCTTGCGAATCCCGAGAACAGAGTAGTAGCAAGATCCGTTGGATCCTCCCTCTCGATCCATAGCTTTCCGTGAGAGAGAGAGAGAGAGAGAGAGAGACTGTACGAATATAATTCACACCCACAAACTGCAATTCGATTACAGCACGTAGATTTGGATACAAAGATAAAACTCAGTTGGAGGGAGGAGGAGGGCCTAATGTGATTGCACAGTTGTTAACAAAAATATCTGGCGGAGTACTCCCTCTGACTCGAGGAAGAACCTTCGAGAGATTTGAACTTTTATTATAGGTTGAGTAGATATTTTCCAATGATATTACGAAATGGCCTTTAGCATGTATGGAATTACGAGTATACCACTGGGTTGACGGGTTTTTGTATGTCCTGGTTCCTGGTCAGGAGGTTTGTTGCTATGGACAGTTACGAGTTTAAAGAGAGCGCGAACAAGTGGTTTGGTCTGGTTAACGCTTTGGATTAATTTAAGTACGAGATTTATTTATTTTCTGGTATCTTATCTAGTATAGGAATATTAATATATGGAATTATTATTTTTTTATATTCAATATTTCTCACAATGACTGTAGTTTGCATTAACCTAAGTATGAGACTGTTTATACTCAAAAAAATAGCAAATTTTGAGGGTCACACGTTAAGAAGATCTAAGGGGTCATGAAAGAATTTGAGAGAATCCATGTTTGACAGAATGGTTAACATTGTGGGACTTTGAGAATCCCGAGAATTTGAGCGGACATGACATCATGAACTGTCAGTCAGAGTCGGTTCAACGAATGTCTGTACATCTCAAGGAAAATGTCATTATTACAGTCATAACTGAAAAAGATGGCTTCAACGATTGAAGGTCATCCCCATAAATAGCCAAGGTAGGGCTACAAGGAATCCACAATTAGACATAACGAAACTATACACAGAGTCAGCCCTTCTCATATTTATTTACTTTTTGAGTAATTTTACTCTTTCCTACATTCCTTCACTCCGGTGATTTTTACAGCTTTCATTTAATGTTAAGTACGGGTGCTTGTTTACAATTTTTTCGGGGGAGGACAGACAGTTAGCTGTGGAACACGTAGGCCATTTCACTATACAATGCAGTGAAGCAAGGGCTAAATATTTTTTGAAGGTAAGGTTGTTTGCCAATTCCTTGACAGGAACAACCTTTACATGGTACATTGACTGTCGCCTAATTTATGTACTAAACTGGCAACAACTAAAGGGAAAGTTCCATTTTTAGTTTTATCGTACTGAGTTAGAGGTAGCAATGGACGATTTGGCCAAGTTATATTAGATGATAGGAGAAACGATGAACCAACACCTCGCATGTTTCAAGAAAGCCAAGAAGTTGATGTAGGTTGGCACTGCCAAGATTGAGTATGTGCACATTACGCAACATAGTATGGGTTTCGAACTCCATAATTAAGGGGATGAAATTTAATGACCTATTCGAATTGGCAGTGCTAGCTACGCGATACGAGCAGAGTCTACAAGAGGAGCTGGACGGAAAGTATGATTTTGACATCTCAAAGCCTGATTAGATCTTTGACCATTTGCTCACAAATGGCATTATCAAATTGTCATTCGGTCATAAGATTCTACTGGCCGTAGAATTGAAGAGTAAGACGTATTGCAATTGGCATAATTGGTGGAACCATTCTACTATGAACTGTGTGGTGTTTTGGGACACCATTTTAAAGGTAGACAAGGGCAGTGATGGCACAACCAGCTACGAGAAGCCTAACGGAAAAGAAAAGACACATCCCACAAAATGAATCGTCCTCCGAGGAGGACCTCACAACAAGTTTGTCGCTTCAGTTAGAGTTGAAGAGCAACTTGACATGGTTAAGAATGACTTCGAAAGAGGTGGCACTATAAGGGCACCCATAACAAGCGCTTGTAGGTGAATGGTCATTTGTTGCCTAAGTAGGGTTATAAGGATTTGCAAGGTAAATTCATGAGGCCAAGTTATAAGGAGCACGACAGGGATTTTCCAAAACCACCACAAGGTTGGCTTGAGCCAAGGTATGAAGAATTTACCACTAGGTTAACACTTGGTCAACCCTTTCGGGGTTGAGGGTTATCGGGACCGCCCTAAGATGATAAAGCCAACAAAGCCATTGGAAGGCAGTTGGTACATGGCCCAACATCCAAAATTCACACAATATCATCAGCTGTACTTTCTCTCCAAAACTCAGAAGTGTAGGAAGCATCGCATCCTGGCGGACCTGTATGGTGGGAGAAATACCAAGAGATGGAATCCTGGGAAGGCGAGATGTTATGTCAACGACACTCTAGGATTAGTGATTAGCATAAAAACATTACATATATTGTATGCTAGTATGTCCTTTTATACTTGATTTCGTCGTGAATTTGGGGAGAAATGTGTTTAATCTTCATTTTAATGGATTTTTATGTATATGTAGGTGAAAAGATGTAAATGGCTTGAATTAAGCCCCCATTGAAGTGTTTGCAGTCAATAAAGATGAGGGGATAGTTTAAAGGAAGGTTTGGAGGGTGAAAAAACCAAGAAAAATGCAAGTTGGATGAAAACCTTCCGGAAGGTTTTGCCTACTGATTTCCTCATTTAACTGTTCCTACGCAAACCTTTCGAAAGGTTTGTGTTGACCTTCCAGAAGGTTTTGCCCAGATTGCCGAGATAGCCTGCAACTCAAGCTTTGCCATTTGGAGGCCCTACCTACACTTCTCTAAATTGTCCCCTGACATCCCTTACACATCTACATGCCTCCCATCACCATAGCTTAGGCTTGAGCATTTATGAGGAGGAGAGAGAAGAGCATGACAAGAGATGTGAAGGCTGAGCTTGTCCTAGCCTGCAACAAGGCATCTAATCAGCCTCCTATGGATGGGAGGTCTGCCATATAGGCTATGGGGAGCTCCATGGACGTTTTTAATGATTCATTACACATTATTGAGAGAACATTGCATCATAGAGGGAGAAGCTCCAAGGAAGAAGACATAGTTAGAGAGAGAAAACTTTGATTTTTATATTTCTTCCATCCATTTCACTTGTAATCTTTTTTAAAACTCTTGTATGCTTCCTTTATTGCCTTTAATGCCATTTATTTCCAGTGCATTTCAAGTTTAGTTGAGTATCCTAACTTCTACCATTAATGTATTTAAGTACTTCATCTCAAAGCTCTTCAAATGGGTATTAAATGCACATTTTTGTAGTTATTGTTTTCTTGCATTAAACTAAGCTCTAATCTTTATTTCTTTGCAATGTCTCTTCATTCCATTTATGTTCTTGCATTAAATATGAGTAGTTAAGCTCTAAGTTGGCTAATCCAAGGGAGAACTCCTCTTGGGTATGCTTTTTCAACTTGTTTTTTTTCCTCCTCGTAGTGTACGTTGATTCGGTTTGAATAGGTTGAATGTGGACATAGTTGTGAGTCTTTGATATCCCGTAGACTTGTCACGGGATATGCTTGGATCATCACCTCCATTTTAGTTCCTCTTTTCTCACGAATCAATTGAACACCTAAACACCATTGGAGGAAGGTCTTGAGTTAATTTGGCATTCCCATTAGAGTGACCTCTTCGGATTAGCCAACACTTGTTCTATTTCATTTTCTATCACAAACACAAATCACCAAACTCAAACTTCAAAGATTTTTACACTTTTTCCTCTTTCACCCAAAATCACCTTCAAAACGATTCACTTCCTTCACCAAACTCAAACAGGACACTCGAAAGTCTCTTTGCGCTTGGGGAGCACTTTTGTTCACACACACACACACACATATTTCATTCCACACATTTGTTTTCCATTTCCTTGCATCAAACCTGAGTGAGAGTGACACTCACTTACACATATAAGTCATATACACATTTGAGGATGATGTGTAGAGATTAGAGAATACAATGGAAACAAACAAGTATTTTTGGCGCTATTGCCAGGGAAGGAAAGTGTTGAATTGAGAAGGTGATTTTCGAACAACGAAGGTAAGTCTCGTGATTTTCATCATGGGCTGAGGTACATTGTTTCTTGTATATACTTTTGTTGTGTATATTTTCATTTGTAGATAGTGTATTATATGTGGGGACGGGATGAACAAAACCAATTGGTTAGACAACCTTTAGGCCCCAACATGAACATTGACCAAAACTTACCTGAGGATGCGGGTGATAATTTTGAGAATGTAGGTGCCAATCTGAACATTCAAAGGGTTGGGGGAGTGCAAGAACCTAGAGACCAAAGCCAGAGAATGCACTTTTCTCCTAGGAATGAAGGAAACAACATCCAACTTGATCCTTCGACAAGGTCAATGAGGGATTACCTTGAACCAACTCGAAGCATTACTCCCTCATGCATTCTCCTACCGGTCCAACCCATGCCTTCCTAGTTAAGCCGAGAATGTTGCAATTACTCTCTACATTCCACGGAATTGAAAGGGAGAATCCTTATTTGCATATCAAAGAATTTGAGGATATAGTTGTAACCTTCCACACTAATCATGTTATGGAAGACATAGCTCATTTGAAATTGTTTTCCTTTTCCCTTAAGAACAAAGCAAAAATGTGGTTGAATTCCCTGCGGCCTCGATCCATAACATCTTGGACTCAATTGCTCTTTGATTTTTTAAACAAATTTTTTTTGGTGCCTAAAACCACCGCTCTTAAAAAATATATTCAAAACTTTTTGGAGAAGCCCAATGACCAATTTTACAACTATTGGGATCACTACAAGGAGTTACTACAATCAATTCCACATCATGGTTTTGAATCGTGGCAATTGCTGAGTTTCTTCTACGAAGGAATCACACAGGGCCATCGCCAATTCATTGACATGATGTGTAATGGTGAGTTTTTAAACAAGGACCTTGATGAGGCCCTAGAATACTTTAGTACATTGGTCCAAAATGCACAACCATGGGATATCGTGGATCTGATCGATGTACTGAGATCTTTTCCTCAGGGTAGTAGTCAAGCACATGGGGGAGGGATGTTTGACTTGAGAGACCGGGAAGACACGCTTTCAAAAATTGTCAAGTTTTTTAGGAAAGTTGAGAGTCTTGAGGTAAATAGGAGACACGAGGTGTCCAACGTTTCAAAAATTGAGGAGTCTTTCTTAATTTGTGAGAGTGTGGAGAATTCCATATCGGAGTGCCCCAACATTCCAATGCTTAAGGAAGTGTACCACGAGCAAGTTAATGCCATTA